GCTAAGCTCACAGCTATAGAACCCAGCACCGTCAACTACTTCTCACCAGACTCTGTAGACGATTCCAAGACCTTGGTGCCCAGCAACGCAGCAGGACTTCTGCATAAGCCAGAATCGAAGAAGAGGAAGATCCTGCCCTTACTTCTGTGCATCTGCCTGCCTCCTCCCAAGTGATTCATGACCTTCTCCTGCAGCGGAAAGAKATTCGGTCTGGYGTGAGCCTTCCCCAGGGCCGAGCTGAAACTGGACCAGGACTGGACAAATGGTGACTACCTACCTACTGACTACGAGGGAACTCTACTGTTCCTACCGGTCTTATCCTATGGGATCTCTACTTTGGCCTGTACTGTACCTACCAGACGATTCTACAGCGGCCCTATAGGACAAAGGAAATGGGACACGGGGGTCGTACTGCAGCAACGCGTGCAACCTTTCAACTGATATAGTTATACAGAATGTGAGATATTGCACTTGTCTTATCACTCACAGGAGTTCTGCACCATTGGTCACCATCTTGAAACACAAAATACATAATTTCCTAATCACAAATAATGAAATATCTGCACAGTATTTCCTTATCTGCGATGAGGAATGTAATATCTTGTGTTTCAAGGGTTCTTGCCCCTGCWCTGAGCTGCTTCTATTGCGAATAAGAAAGCACGGCACRTAGTACGAATTCTTAAGTTTCCAAACAGTTACTGTCAAAAGCTGAAGAGGCAATCACAACACAATCCTACCGGTAGTCCCGACAATCAAACTCCTGCCTTCGTTGACRAACATTGTTGCTACCTGCTACCATCTGCCTAATTGTATAAAACATGGAGTGGTCCCAGAGCAGCGCTTTTGTGATGTCCCAGAGAGATGGTTATCCGGTATATCATAAATCTAGTTGTCCATGACATTGTGCAGGTTTCAGTACTGATGAAGACATTGTCTCCCAGGCAGCTTGCCTTCACTATCTGTCACCATGCCTTACTGGCAGCTGTGGTCCCTGGTACAGTTCAAGCATGGGGTGAAGCGCGTCAATTCGTGGAAGGGGCATGGACAAGGCCAGTCGCAATGTGGGTCGGTTTTGGCATCACTTTCTTTGCATGGGCCATTAATCTGGTTCGTCCACTCACAMMCCCAGCTTACCGTKGCTGGGATGGCAAATTGAGCTCAGCCTGGGATTTTGAACTGGTGAGATACTTTGTTGGGTGGCTGGCGTACAATGCTATTGACACTGCGTCTGTTTTTACAATCAATTCTCTCTGGTTGGGGTCCTCGCAGCCTCCTCTTCGGCTGGGCATTCTTGCTGCATGGGCTTTTGCATTTTCGGCACTCATTGGCAAATCCCCGGGATGGAGTTACCAAGATACACAAATCGCCGASCGGTATTGGCTCACATTGTTCAACCAGGTGGTGTSTTTTTACTTTGCAGCAGTCGTCAACTACTCGGGAAGGGACCTTGCAGTCATGTGTTACCTTGGCATCTCTTYGACATTGCTTTACTGTGTCCGTATTATAAGTTTGTATGATCTGCGTGAGGAGAATGTGAGGAGACTCATCGGAGACTTGAACTGGTTTGAGCACTGGTCGGGATACCAAGGTGAATGCCAGGGAGTCCATGAGTTTGTGAGCAGGATTCAGGAGCCACCCCAAGTTGAGTGGCATCAGGTGGAAGCCCTCTCTGTGGTTATTCGTAGCCTTTGTAAGAAGCATGGTGATATTACTTTCCGTGGCTGGGGGTATCACAAGTGGAGGATGGACAACTTCAACGTCTGCACTTTGGAAGTGCTGGAAAAGGAAGCAATGTGGTTAAGATATGTGCTGGCATGGTGGCATTCACGTAGGGGGAGTATGTACATGCCCAGCTGGAAAAAAGTGAAAGTCTGCCTTGCCTGGTCTCTTGTCAGTTGGCCGGGACTGATCGCTTGTGGACTACTGGCAGACGCTGTGGACACCATACTTGTCGCTGCATTTCTGGTCTTCTGGCAAACTCTTCTACTGCATCTGATTGTGCAAATCTGGTGGCAGGAGAACAACCTGGCAGACCTCAGCCCAGAGAGAAGTCCTGCAAATGCAGAGAGACCTGGCACCCTTGACGTGTTTGGAGGAGTGCCGAAGATGGTGCTTCAGTACCACTTGCGAGTTGCAGCCAACTTGACCGCACTTCTGCAGAGTGCTCTACGTACACATAGCCTGGATTGTGTCCCTTCATTTGACTACGGCATACCCTACTTTCGAAAGTCTGTGATGGTGAGCCGACAGACGAACAAGATCAAGGCAGTCGTGCGGTTGCTTTATGGAAGTGGTGATGCAATCAGCAGCCAGAAGGATGGTGCCAGGTGTCTCATTGGCATGTGGTCTATGGAGGATCCCCCCTACAAACCTGGATTTGTAGAAGATAGAGCCACTAAGCTCGCTACTACAGCTGCAACACGTGAACGTAGGTGTTGTAGTCATGGTTGTCTCCAATCACAGTCCTTCCAGCCACTTGTGCAGCTAGCGGTGGCTGTCTGGACACGCGTGAAGATTTTAAATGAGCCTGAATACAACCGAGCTTCTTGGATCGCTGAAAACAAAGTTGTTGTCGATCACATGGAGGGACATCCATTTCACAGTGGCTCCGCTGTCGACTGGGACCAAAGAGCAGAGGCACYRTGGTCAAGATRCGGCTGTCCCGAGGTTGGTGAAACTCTGCATTCCTTGGTGTGCGACATTGCCAATATGTTGCAAAGGTTGTCACTGATTGAGGATGAAGAGGAGGSGGAGAGGGAGGAATGGATGATTGTCATGGCCTTGCTCATGGATCAGGTGTGGCTAATGCCAAAGCCATTAATTATTGGTTCGGAGAGGGTTTGGAAGGCCGTAGTGGACACCTATGCCCCTACACAGGACCAATGGCATAGACTGCCTGGGGATCCAGATCTCATATTTGACGGTATTGCAGAATCATACATGATTCACAGTGGTGGGGCCACATTAGGCTTTGCTGAACAGGTGGCACATATGGATATCCAACTGAATGCGGATGACGCCAGCAGGTCATTGGCTAGAGTGGCATCTTGGCTGAGGAAACATACCAGACACATGGAAGTGGCTGGATTGATATGGGAGAAAAGGCCCTTCATCAAGTTGCAGTAGCCTTCAAGTTGCTCATTGTACATGCTAGGGAGGTGACCGTTGTGACCATAGCCTAGATAGCCTGGATATAAGAGTTATTCTGCACGTCCTAAGACACTGTTCCAATTCCACAGACTCACAGAGCTTTCTAGCCACTTCACCCTTCCTCAGCCGTCTGATATAGCACGGTTGAAGTCACCAGCGATCTGAGGTCTAGCAGGTCGCTCCCTATAAGTAACAAATTAGTTCTCTTTCTACCCCCGCCCCCCCACAACCCCCTACTCTCTGCATTCTAGTCTTCAAACTTAGAAATTCTACAGGGCAGTTACCCACCACAGAAGAGGTTCATCATTATGGGAAAAATTAAAAAAAAAA